CAAAAAAAAAAAAAAAAAAAAAGCACCTCTTGTTCTTACTTGCTTGATACCTTCTATAGTAGCATCCCACTTCCAAATTTAACCCAAATTTCCTACAATACGCCATTACAAGAGTTTAGCTTGAGCTTTTGAAGAGCACTTCAGCAAGTGTTTGTCTGGTTGGGAAGGGCTAACGAGCCCTTTAGAGTCCACTCTCTGATTTATTGCATTAACGACCTTTACCCAAGCATCATAAAAGCATCTCCTCTAAATAGTAATTCTTCTCGCCCAATTTAGACCGCCAAACTCCGTTCCCAAGGAAAGGCCTCTGCAGAACTATCACCATCAGCCTCCTTCTTAAAAGCTCTCGAACAGCCCATCATAAGATTTATGGGATCAAACTCACCAAACCTAAAATTGAAATCTGTCACTAGGCCAAAATGGCCTAATTTTGTCACTAGTTTTATACAAAACAACTCTATCTTCAAAGTTACTTTTTAAAATTACATTATTCTTAAAGTTAACCAGAATGATTTCATAACAATTTCCAGTGCTTATCCAACCCCTCTTTCATGGGTGATCCTATTTTTCGGTTTGGAAGGTGATGATTCTCAAGAATGTGAAGTTCTTCGTGTGGCAGGTTTTGCATGGAAAAGTTAACACCCTAGATTAGCTCTCAGTTAGAGGGTCTTTGATGATTGGACCACTTTGCTGTATTCTTTGCAAAAGAGTTGCAGAGGATTTTAATCAGCTCCTTTGGAGCAATGATTTTGTCATGCAGGCTGGCGTGATTTCTTTAAGACGTTCGACTATTCTTTCGTTAGCCCTCAAAGTTGCAGGGAGGTGGTTGAGGATCTCATCCTCCATTCACCCTTCCTGATAAAGGGTGATTTTTGTGGCAGGTGGGTGCATGCTATTTTGTGGAGGCTTTAGGGCGAGGGAGTTCTTCTAGCGATGTTTTAGTCCGTTGTTAGATTTTTTGTTTCTCTGTGAGCCTCGGTTTCTAGGTTTATTTTGTAATTATTTGCTTGGTCTTATTTCTCTCGACTCGAGTCCGTTATTGTAGTTTGGCTCTTTTTTGCCCATGTATTCTTTCATTTCTTCAGATTTATTTAGCTCAAGCTTGAATCGACTATAAAAATGGATTATATTAATTTTGGTTCATTAAACATGCACTTATTAGTGGGATTTTGACTTGGTAAACTAGAGATTATGTCTTTAGTGCTTTATAAGTTCAATTTTATGTTATCATTAGCAGGGATGGGGCCAAAACAAATTATTTGGATTGGCAAAATTTTACATTCCAACTTCTTTCATATATAATCTGTTCTTCGTTCCACCCCAAGCCATAAGAAGATATATGAACTCAACTGGGAAACCAAACATTCTCTACGAGAAAGCAACATATGTACTCCACAGTTCTAATATTTTGAGTAGCGATCTTATCCTGTTTATTATTGAAAAAAAAAAAAAGCCACCGACAATAATTAGGTCTCTGATGATATCCATTCTTAAACCTAGATATTAAGCCAAAATGAAACTAAAGTTCAAGGTTTTGGGTAAAATAGTTTCAGCAGCAACTCCAGGCTTTATCTCAGATTGCATTGAATCGTGAACCAAGAAAAGCAAAAACCAAAATGAAACTAAAGTTCAAGGTTTTGGGTAAAAATATGCATTCTGACGAGTTTAAGTTAGTTTTGGTTGCCTAACCACAATGTCACCTAACAACGTATCAAATATCAAATCCCGTAAAATGTATGACATGAAGAATGCAATGGATACATAATTGTTACTGCAAAAAACTATGCACATAGCCACATATAAAGACTTCGAGTCAAAATTGACTTCATAATTCCAAAAACATAGAAATCTAACTCATAAGTTCAATGCCTCCTTTGAAATTAGACAATGTGGAGGTGAAATATTGAAATTGTAAATGGTAAATTAACAAGTAACCCATGAGAGAGTTTCCTGTGGGCATGTCCAACCACTTTTTATTTTTTTCTTTCTTCTTTTTTTTTTTTTTTTTTT